ATTAGGATCGTTAATAATATCCCGGAGGATAGCTTATTAAATAAAAAGGCGTTACCGGGCTATATATTATTATTAACGGATACGTCCGGGAGTTTTTCTTATTATGGAAGAATTAACGACAAACGACGACCTTTCCTTAGGAAATTCTCTAAGGAAAGATAGAATGAATAGGAGATCCCGAAATAGCGATAAACGAAGAGATGTTATTATTATAAAAGTAAGAGGAATAAGACTATGATTTACGGAATAGAGTAAAAGGGAATAGGATTAAAGGAGCGTAACGATAAAAGCGAGGAAGCGAGAGGAAATAAAAGGAAAGAATACCTTTTTCGTATATAAGGAGCCGAGAGAAGTATATATGGTTTATTACGAATAATCTAAAGATCCTAAGAGGACTAACGAAAACGAAACGTAACGGAAATACGAGAAAGAATACGGATCGAAAGAGGGTAGATTAATGAATAGGGGTATAGAGAGCGAAACTAAGGTAGATTAAAAATAGGAAACGGAAGGAGAAACGAGGGTCGAATTATAAGGCTAAAGATAATATAGAATAGCGATTAGATTATATGGAGAGGATTAAGAGACGAAAAAGTGCTAAATATTTATTAGGATTACGTAATAAAGTCTAAAAAACCCGGAACCGAATAATACTCTTATGTTAGGTCGGGAAGGAAATAAGATACGTAACTACGTACCGGATATTTATATTACGGAAGGTATTTATATTAAGAAAGTAGGGGTTCTTTTTCGGTTTAGAGGGGAAATAAGAGAAAAGGAATAGCTTTCTTATCTTTCGGAAAGTACCTTACCTTATAACCTCCTAAGGCCCGGATACGTACCTAGGCTAAGATACCGGTACGTACTTATTATCGATAACGTAAGTACGTACTTACGCCAAGCTATCGGTACGTACCGGATTTAAAATAGAAGGAGTAGCTTTCTTATCTTTTTAAACGTTCTTAGGGAAGGGTTTCTCTACGTATAAGAAAATCCGGTACGTACCGATAGCTTAGCGTAAGTACGTACTTACGTTATCGATAGTAGGTACGTACCGGTATCTTAGCCTAGGTACGTATCCGGGCCTTAGGAGGTTATAAGGTAGGGTACTTTCCGAAAGATAAGAAAGCTATTCTTTTTTTTTCGACGAGGGATACGATATACGGAACGATCTTCTTACGTAAGGCTCTTATAAGTATAAGGATTCCATAAGATATTTTTAAAAAAAAGAAAAAAAATACCTCGGTACGATAGAATATTTCTAAGTTTTAACCGGTACGTACCGAAGTACTTCGTACCGGTTAAGGTTTATTAATACGATACGTTCCGAAGTACTTCGTATTAATTATTAATACGGTACGTACCGAAGTACTTCGTACCGGTTAAGGTTTATTAATACGGTACGTACCGAAGTACTTCGTACTTATTAAGATTTATTAATACGGTACGTACCGAAATACTTCGTATCGGCGAAAAATCTTTTATTTTTAACGTAACGAAAAAGGATATATAAGATATAAGAAAGACGTTTTTTTACGAATTATAATAAAAGAAAAAAGGTTATAACGTTTAAAATAATAAAGAAATTTTCTACGTAAAAAAAACGAAAAAAGTATCGGAAAAAGGAGAAAACTTTTTTCTTCTTATCGTATAAATTAACGGATATATCTTTAAAGGATATAAGAAATTTTATACCTTCTTCCGACGTAATACCAGATCGGATAGGTATCTTTCGAAAAAGAAAAAAACTCGTATACCGGAACGAAAAATAAAAAAAGTAGCAAGCGTCGATCTTCTTAAATTCCGAAAAACGTAACTCGGGTTTTCCGTTACGGGTTTTAGAGATACGGGATCGAAAATTCTATATTACTATAAAGAAAAAAGGGAAATTCGAATAAACCCGAAGCGAACCGGATCCGACGTATTTTCGTCGCGAAATCTTATAAAAACCGTTCTACGATACTTTTTAAAAAAAAAATATATAAAAATATTCTTCCCGATTTCCTAATAAGATAATAAGAATAAAAGTATAATTATTTCTATATAGAAAGGATATCGTTATAAAGAACGAAAAATTTATTAAATTTATATAAGATCCTTATCGTTATTTAATTTATAGAAAATATAAAAAAAAAGATAAAAGATATAAGGTCCGTAGAAAAGAATAAGGTTTTAAATTTTATCTTTTTTTACTTTACGTAATATGCCTTTCTTATAACCCTAAAAAGTAAAGAAAAATATAACTTATTTAATAACGAAGAACCTAATTTTCTATCGATTTTATTCCTCGTTTTTTCTTAAAAAACGTACGAATAACGGCAGGATAAGAAAGGTACGCGGGATACGTACCGCCGGAGCCTCGCTTACTAATAAAGGCCTAAGAAAAGATAGGTTTACCTTTCGAAAAAAGTAATAATAAAAAGTATTTAAAATCGTAAGAAACGGATATAAGAAAAATTTTATATATAAGGGTTTTTAAAAAAAAAAATAACTAAGTCTTTCGTTTCCTATAAACCTAACCTCCTAACTATTTCCTATACTAGGTCGGGAAGGAAATAAGGTACGTAGTTACGTACCGGATATTTATATTACGGAAGGTATTTATATTAAGAAAGTAAGGGTTCTTTTTCGGTTTAAAGGGAAAATAAAAGAAAAGGAATAGCTTTCTTATCTTTCGGAAAGTACTTTACCTTATAACCTCCTAAGGCCCGGATACGTACTTAGGCTAAAATATCGGTACGTATTTATTATCGATAACGTAAGTACGTACTTACGCTAAGCTATCGGTACGTACCGGATTTAAAATAAAAGGAATAGCTTTCTTATCTTTCTAAACGTTCTTAGGGAAAGGTTTTTTTACGTATAGGAAAATCCGGTACGTACCGATAGCTTAACGTAGGTACGTACTTACGTTATCGATAATAAATACGTACCGGTATCTTAACTTAAGTACGTATCCGGGCCTTAGGAGGTTATAAGATAAGGTACTTTTCGAAAGATAAGAAAGCTATTCCTTTTCTTTCGACGAAGGATACGATATACGGAACGATTTCCTTACGTAAAGCTCTTATAAGTATAAGGATTCTATAGGATATTTTTAAAAAAAAGAAAAAAAATACCTCGGTACGATAGAAAATTTCTAAGTTTCGGCCGGTACGTACCGAAGTACTTCGTACCGGCTAAGATTTATTAATACGGTATATATTAAAGTACTTCGTACCGGTTATTAATACGGTACGTACCGAAGTACTTTATACCGGTTAAGGTTTATTAATACGATACGTACCGAAGTACTTCGTATTTATTAAGGTTTATTAATACGGTACGTACCGAAGTATTTCGTACCGGCGAAAAGTCTTTTATTTTTAACGTAACGAAAAAGGATATATAGGATATAAGAAAAACGTTTTTCTACGAATTATAATAAAAGAAAAAAGGTTATAACGTTTAAAATAATAAAGAAATTTTTTACGTAGAAAAAACGGAAATAATATCGGAAAAAGGAGAAAATTCTTTTCTTTTTATCATATAGATCGGCGGATATATCCTTAGAGGATATAAGAAATTTTATACCTTCTTCCGACGTAATACCGGATCGGATAGGTATCTTTCGAAAAAGAAAAAAACTCGTATACCGGAACGAAAAATAAAAAAAGTAATAAGCGTCGATCTTCTTAAATTCCGAAAAACGTAACTCGGGTTTTCCGCTACGGGTTTTAAAGATACGGGATCGAAAATTCTATATTACTATAAAGAAAAAAAGGAAATTCGAGTAAACCCGAGGCGAACCGGATCCGACGTATTTTCGTCGCGAAATCCTATAAAGACCGTTCTACGATACTTTTTAAAAAAAAAATATATAAAAATATTCTTTCCGATTTCCTAATAAAATAATAAGAATAAAAGTATAATTATTTCTATATAGAAAAGATATCGTTATAAAAAGCGAAAAATCTATTAAATTCGTATAAGATCCTTATCGTTATCCGATTTATAGAAAATATAAAAAGAAAGATAGAAGACATAAGGTCCGTAGAAAAGAATAAGGTTTTAAATTTTCTCTTTTTCTACCTTACGTAATATGCCTTTCTTATAACCTTAAAAAGTAAAGAAAAATATAACCTATTTAGTAACGAAGAGCCTAATTTTCTATCGATTTTATTCCTCGTTTTCTCTCGAAAAACGTACGAATAACGGCGGGATAAGAAAGGTACGCGGAATACGTACCGCCGGAGCCTCGCCCGCTAATAAAGGCCTAAGAAAAGGTAGGTCTACCTTCCGAAAAAGGTAATAATAAAAAGTGTTTAGAATCGCGAGAAACGGATATAGGAAAAATTTCATATGTAGGGGTTTTTGAAAAAAAAAACAACTAAGTCCTTCGTTTCCTATAGACCTAACCCCCTAACTATCTCCTATATATATACTAGCGTAGAAATTCTAATTTAAAGTAGGCTTTTAATAAAGTCTATAAGAAAATAAGAAAGGTAATCCGAAAGGCGGAAAAGCGGGTTATAAAGTAATAAGGATTAAATATTAACGCTTTTTCTAGTAACGAATCATTATAAGAAATCCTACGTATATTACGAGAAAAAAATACGGGTACGTAAAAAAAAGCAGAAAAGAAACGTAAAAAGAAGTAATAAAGATATAAGTTTAAGGGTTTCGTAATTTTATTAAGTATAGCGCCCTTTTTTAATATAGAAATTACGTACCTACGTAATTTTAACTTTAAAAATATTTTTTTATACTAGATTTCATTTTTATTTTATTCTTCTTAAATTCGTTTCATTATATACGTTTTTCATCGTAAATAATATACGCTTTACTCGATATAATATACGTTAACGTAAAAATTTAAACTAGTTTCGAATTTATAAAAGATAGTTTCGTATGAACTATAAGTTTTCTATATATAATTTCTTACGTTTTCTAGGTTTTCTATAATAAATAAAGTTCGTAGCTCTAAAAATCGTTATTAAATAAACTAAGTATGCTTTCTATATCTCTCTATCCTCCGGATAGGATAAGGAATGGAGAAGGCCACGTGCCCTGGCGCCATACAAACTAGGCTACTAGGCATAGCATTACACAACGCATATTTTATAGTACCGATACACATCATCATATCCAACTTCGTCTTCTATTACGTGGCTTTAATCCACCGACAAATCCGCCGCCGTGATAGAACTCGTCGCGCTGGCAATTGACTACGAACATATGCCTCTTATCGACGTTAAATCCTTGGAGACGACGATTGATACATGGCTGGAAAGGGTAGAAATAGTCAATCCGGCACCGAAAAGGCGTACCGACGACTTTCGAAGCAGCGCAGGCATGGCCTCCCCTCCACGAAGCCTTAGCCCCTCAAAGCGACAACGAGTCAGCTGTACCGATAATGATGCCGCCGCCACCCCTCGCCCTACCAAGATACCATGTACAAGCATCCACGATGACGTCTCCGACATAGTGTCGTTGTCCATATCACAGATATCTGGGCAGTCGGGTCAGTCAGCTAAGCGGTCGGGTCAGTCGGGTCGCTCCAGCCCTGTTAAGAAGGAGGCGGCGATGCGACAAGCTAGTGAGCTGCCGCTTAGGCGCAAACCCCTGGACGAACTCTTAGAAGCAGAACCCCAATTTCCGGATCTGGTTCAGTTCATTAAAAGGTTGGCGGATTTGAAGGACAAGGAGGGCATCCTTCCACGTGTCCTCGAAGTGAGCCTTGTCATACTCGTACCGCCCATCGCCTCCCCTTGGGAAACACGGAAAGACTAACGTGGATTCCTCTCCCCTAGCAACATATCCGATCTCGAGCAACCCTAAGCGACCCTATCCGAGACTGGATGTTCTCGCCCAGGCCTGAAGAGGAACCCCCCGAGTACCAACATCACAATCTCTATGTATATGAACGTGTCCGGAGGATCTGTAAAGCCAGCCAACAGTGCAACGACGCGGCACATCCGATCCACGAGGTGGAATGGAACGACAAAGTTCACGCTGCTCTATTGGAGCTGGCTCTTGACACGGCCGCCATCTCCAACCCAACGCGATTGCTGGTGTACCACAACATCACCAATGTTCGGCTAGCTAAAGAATTTCAGGATAGGGACTTGTTGCTTAAAGAGAATAGGGTCGACTACGGCATATTCCTTGCCCCCGACAGCGATTCAGAACTTGGGCAGCGGATCGCCATGCACCAACGTCGTCAGCGCGACTCAGCTAATGCACTTGAGTCCCATTCTCAACCTCAACCTCAGCTACACGCCCTGCATGCATACGAACCCGATCGCCCCCTGGCTATTAGTATTGAGACCAAACGCAATCGTGGGAATGATGGCCAAGCACCGAGCCAGCTGGCGAACTGGGCTCGTGCTCACTTCCGCGCCATATCTGAGACCCTAAGGGCTTGTCGCGATAGTGATCATGTTGGTGAGTCAAGCGGCTTGGTACACCCTCTGATTGAGCTCGACGGCACTGCCTGGCATATCAGTTTCGCCATCCGAGAGGGTCGGCACGTGACCGTGTACTCGAGTGTCCGATTAGGGTCAACCGAGACCGTAACTGATTGTTACGCCTTGTTGCGTTGTTTAGAGCAAGTGGCCTGGTGGTGTGCAAACCCTCACTGGAACTGGTGGACTAAAATATTACAGCGTTGTGGTTAACGCCTGCTGTCCCAGATAACGCTATCGTTGACAATGGGCACAGCATCAGATCAACCATGTTCCTGGGTATCCAACCAGCGTGGCTGCAGCTCCTGTTCAATAGTACCGGGGGTGTAAACTGAATGTAGAGATGAGAGGTATTGACTAGGTATTAACCGGTTATTAGAGGCGAGGTTCGAGCAGCGACAGTGCGCCAGCTGAGCAATCAGGGGCTTCGGGCGATTAATAGCCAATCGTGCCCGTTCTCGCGGTGGAAATCGCCCGAAATCGCCCAACCGTCCCCCGCCAGACTGCAGCATTACTAGAGACATTGAAGAAGTCCTGCGCCGTTGCCCTGGCGGTGCGACGAAATTAAGTTGCTGTGCAGTTGTCTTCGGTTTATTGTACCCCCCAGACAGCAATTGAAGAGTGCAGAGCTTGTCTCATGTCGGGCGGTCTTACAGGTGCTGGCCCAATCGGAAGAGTCAGAAGAGATCATAAAGGGCAGCGCGACGTCGGGTCTACGTCGATCCGAAAAGGCTTCGTCAAGCGATCACCTACCTACCTATCATATAACATAGGTAGGTGCACATCATCCTCACCCTAGGATAGCTAGGATACACCACTTTATGTAACTGTGTGGTTTTCTCATCTAATTATAGAGATTCCCTTCTGCCACTCCTATGCTAATTAGCTTGCTAAAAATAAATACTTTCCGATTGGTTGTTGAAAGTGACCTATACCTGCCTCCTTTTTCATAACCTTCGGAGAGGTACCTATGTTTTTGTTTAATACTTCTAAAACAATTTAACGAAGAAATGCAGAGCGTAACGAGGTACTTCAACGTAGGTATATCAACTAGAATAAACGCTACTTCGGGGAGCAAATAGGGGACTGAACTGATGCCGGGATCGCTACTACTCTGCCACGCGGCAGGACCATTATCCGGTTGGGAATTGTCTCAGTGCTTATCACCATATGAATGGTGGACGGGCACCGAAGTTATACGCATCGCGGCTGGTCCACATTTTACCCGTGTATATTGCAAAGAAACAGGCACCTACAAATGCCGTTCGGGATTGTTTCAGATTAACTTTGTGCATATTAGGTCTCGCTGCGCACATTGGCGCAGGAAAACACTGAGCTTAACAAGTTTACAGCGAAATGTCGGTAGGTAAGTTATCGGCATCCATTGCCTGCCATGCGATAGGTAGGCCTCACTGGTTTCAGGAGTTATCTCCCGGAAACCTGTTTGCACCCACGATTATAGATTTAAGTGCCGCAGATCACCATCCCGCCTTCACACCATTATGGGTGTCCGTAAATAAACACTCTCTCTAACGGTTAGGACCCCGTACGATCTCCGTAAACTCTTAGGTATGCCGGTTTCGTGCTTCTATACATCTCTCAAACCATTCATTCACCATTATGATCTTGCAACTAGAGATGAATACTCGACGCGATGAAGCCTTTCACCATCAGACTGTCTGTGCTATTCGTGTTGCGTATCGGGGTGGACTGTGCAAAGATAGCATCGAGGCAGATCAACCTAGGCGGCCACTCTTACTTCCTGCCGCCGACTAAGGCATGGTACTTCCAATCCTGGAGACCAGGATTAATTCAGTCTGAAGACGAGTTTATCCCGCTCACTGTCACCCGAGTAGACAGTAGTAATGTCACCGAAGAAGGGCTAAGAGCCACTTTCGCAGAATATAACACCACAGACGATGTATGGACTCCGGATTTCACAGAGTGTGAGTCGTTTCCAGGGTCCTTTAATTCGCTCCCAGCTTACCTCTCTAGCTATTTTCATGCAATCCCCGGTGAACGGCTTCAGTAGGCTCCTGGCGAGCGAGCTACAGCCGCAGTACTCGATCAACTACTTATTTTGCAGTGCCACCAACCATTCGAGTATCCCTGACGTCCCTACCGGGCCATACTTTATTCAGACGTACACAGGGCACGTATACCGAGCCTATAAATTGATCAATGACGCCAGTCAAGCCTTCATTCAGGTACGTCTCTTCTCTCCGTTCCCAAACTATGTTCTGTCCACCCTGTTTACTAGCCTAGGTCATAGTCCTCATACCAAGATGACGATGGCGTCCATCACCCACTTGCGGCAGCATCGATGTCGGCCGGCGCACTGACCGTCGGAATTCCATCTCGTCTGTATTATACTCGGACACCCGAAAAGCCCCTTGCTGGACTCCGCATCGCAGTCAAGGATATTTACGACCTCAAGGGTCTCAAAACTAGTGGTGGTAACCGTGCATTGTACGAGATGGGGCCGGTCAAGAACACCACAGCTCTCCCGGTCCAGAAACTCGTCGACGCTGGTGCGGTTGTGGTTGGCAAAACCCACCTTTCGGAATTTGCGTTTGCGGGCGGCCAGATCCCCGAACACGTGGATTATATCCTCCCCTTCAATCCGAGAGGTGACGGGTATAACTCCCCAGGCGACAGCTCTGGTGGCTCAGGATCAGCCGTCGCTAGTTACGAGTGGCTCGATATGAGCATGGGAAGCGACACAGGTGGCAGCATTCGGGGGCCGGCTATCAATAACGGTGTGATGGGAAACCGGCCTTCTACCGGTGCGGTCGATCTACTCGGAGTCCTCCCGCTCTCCAGCGCAATGGATACCAGCGGAGTGTTAGTTCGTGACCCCATGCTTTGGTCAGTCGTTAACAGGATCCTCTACTCCGGATTTGCAAGGGATTTTCCTGCCTTGCCGAAGCACATCTACATATATGCGGAACAGGTTAACCAGTACGCCGACGCCACAGGAGAGTCAGAAATTTGGTGGAGCAAAGCGCAGCAATTCGTGAAAAGGGTTTCCAGACTCCTACAAGCAAATTCCACTCAGCTCTCACTCGATGATCTCTGGAACAAGACAAGTAAGAATTTACAGCGTCTCGAAAATACTCCGTTAAGTGAAGTGGTTGCATATACATATGGGAACCTTACAACATATGAGCAATGGACCTTATTTGGCCGGGAATACGTTCGAACTTGGATGGAAGCACACGATGGCGAATTCCCAGCCATGGTTCCTAATACGCGCGATGGATGGCTGGCAGCGAACGCATCAATCACGCCTGACTTGCATCAACAGTCACTTGAAAATCTCGCGGCCGTCCGACAGTGGGTGGAAGATGAGTTCCTTCGGCCGGATGAAGACTCATGTTCTGATGCAATATTTCTATACTTCACTCCTCCGGACATGAATCTGTCGTATAAGCCCAAGGTGGACGAGGACACATATAATCCCTCTATCAGACACCTTATATTCACCGACGCCATAACGGCCATCACGGCGGCTCGACTCAATATGACTTTGGTTTGCGTCGTTGATCGAAACGATTCGAAAAAGAACGCTGCATGTCAAGACGCTAAAGATACACTTCGACAATTGAGTAGCCACTTAGCAGGAAGACTGGCCATGCCCCACCAGACTCACCCATCGAAAGTAGCATCTATTGCAGGGCTTCCGGATTTTGCTATTACGCTAGGGGAGATGGAGATGGCAGCCACAGTGTCACAGGCGACGATGAAACCCCAGTCATTACCGTGGGGAGTGAATATTATGGCTGGCCGAGGATGTGATTTCATGTTGCAGGAATTGGTATCCGCGCTTGCTCTTTCAGGTATTATTAAGCCAATTAAGGCTGGAAAACATGTTTATTAATCGTCCCAGGCAGTTAGGGTGCATAGACTAGAGGTGCTGACTCCAACAAGGACGGAGGAAGCAAGAGATGCATCATTAGTATTGTTATTGCCACTGGACAACATCGATTAGCTATTAATGTAGTTAGTAATATAAGGCCTATAGAAGTTTTGAACAAACTCTAGTGGCAAGTATCCTTACCCAGCAAATACTTGTGGTATCCTACAGTGAGTTACTGGTAAATCCGATATTCTGGAGAGATTAATCATTGATACGGTCATATGTGGTGTGTTTATGTTAAAGTAACCTGGCTTATTTATATTTCGTCTCTGCCCTGGTAAGATAGAAATCACCCTAGAAGGCCTTTTATTAAAATAGCTGTGCCGTTATTTGCGGCGCGTGTGCCTAACCAGCCCGCGCAGTGTGGAGGGTTACAGAGTGTCTGGGCTAATATCGTGGAACCCCGAGTTCCCTTTTCAAACTCGGGGTACAGTTTAAGGATATAATACTACACGACATGAGCCACTCTAATATATACTGCCATGTAATAATCTGTTTCCTACGATGCCCTCCTTTGGTTAGAAATACCACAAGATTAATCTTGTTCTCGAATTTGGAACACACCGACCCTACCAAACCCTTTTTTATGCAAGGCATATCGTGCCAAATTGTCCTCGTAGTAATAGCGATTTCCGCCATCAAAATAGTGTTGCGTAGAGCGTAGGCGCCCTCATTCTACGGCTCGTGGACGTAGGGTTAGGAGGGCCATTTTCCTACGTTACTAATGGGTACCATCGTAGAAGTTACCTTATTTCCACTCCCGGTCCACTCATTCGAGTTCATACCTATAATTCTTTAGAGTTGTGTGTTATATCAACGTATCATCGCTTCTCAAATCTCTGGCGACCAGGCACGGCTCGCATTTACTTACCCATCGTGAAAATGAACCCGCTTCTCGCGCTGTGTTTGCACAAATTCGGGTAGTCAGGTTAAATTATTTTAATCAGGACACTGCACACTGGTGATCTTGGCCTCAGACACCAAGATTCAAGACCTATTGGAGATCAATACTTAGACGACGGCGCCCCTCTGACGCCGATCCATTCTGATTAGTCGCTAGTCTAGCGACCAACTTCCTGCAGCTAGCTGACTTCATTATCCTGCCAATTTGTAGTGCATTGGGTGGCCTTGGTGATCGGGTTATTATTATTGATGTCTTGGCTAGGTACGTCAGAGATCTTGCTCACATCTGTCTCAATAGCATCAAGACTTAGTTGGTCATTCTACGAGAACTACAGCAGCACAGGATATTAACAACATGCGTCACGCTGCCAATGATCGTTTGTATCCTCCGGCACGGGAGGTTGATTTAGACAGGCCCTACATACCCGCAGAGTGGTGTTAGTAATAGCACAAATTATGAGATTGACCTCGAGCAAGTTCGAATGTTGTTACTGGAAATTATTGGCAGCTGAGCGTAGCGATTCCGTCGCGCAGGAGTACGAATTCTCATTGATGATAAATTCCGTAATAGCTCCTAATGGAAACCTGTATAAAGCCTTTTTATTACATGTCAGGTGCAAAATCCCATTTACGTAAGCCTATATCTACAGGACTCGGAATTTAGGCTTCGGGCGGATCAATTAACATGTCGGGCGAGGAGTCGTGTTTCAAGAAGGCTTTATCATCCGTCGAAGTGGTAGAGCGATGGTGTGAAGCCGTTGCCTACGCTGAGAAGGCTAGCGGTTATCTAGCACCAACATTGCTTGGCTCGCCTATACCCGTAAACCAAGAAAGCAGCCACCGTTCAGAAGCATTATGCTCCGCCAAGAGGCTCAACAAAAAGCTTAGCTATTTGGCCCACACATGAGGATATTATAAGACGCATTATTATTATCTGTACGTAGATAGGGACACAGGCAACTTTCCATATGCACCACCAGGGCCTCCACCATCTTTCGACAACAGATTAACGTACGCAATATAATAAGTGAAGTTACCAGGTCCCGTCTATACCGACAATTGGATCTTTCGGTCGGCTCGTAGTATAAATAGCAGCTAAGTAGCATCAAGGTATTAGGCGAGCGATGCTGCAACTAACCTAGTTAAACTCCATACTTTGGAAAATGGGTTTCTTAAGCAATAAGCTGTATGGGGGCTGCAGTGTCCCGCATTAACAGCGTCGTAAGCCGAAGTTCCAGCGTGGCGCCACTTTTTCACCAGAATTAGAAGTATCCTAACTGGTAAATATCTACTCTACCTTCTAAATGTGCCCTTTGCCCACTAGATGACGGGGAGTACACCCGGGCAAAGAGTTTCGAGACAACCAAAAAAGCATCTAGCGAAGAGAGGGATTTCCTAGTCGCGCTCCATACTCAGTAAGGTGTCAGTTAGGTAATGATGAGTAAGTTGAGATATCTAAGACATTAACTCGGTAAAGGTGAAATCCCCTCCCAATGGTCCGGGAATCAAATTAGCTTCCTTGTTAGTATCTAGATTTACAACCTTACCTCGCATTGCCGCGATATCTTCACGTTGTTGCTTGCAAGGTTCCCCGCAACCAGCAAGACGGGGTATGCATAATGGGTAGCAAGCAAAATGCCGACCCCACAATGGTTGAAACCGGGTTTACAATAGATACATGGGGTTTAGTAACAGGCCCGTGGCCAAATCTGGTCATCTATATGAGCTGAGCCGTGTACTCCAAGGCGTTCTACTGAGATGCAGGTATAAATGGTTCAACCTGCCTCGAGGGGAGATCTCCTCTTCCCTAGCAGATGTCGATTCACATCCTCATCTCTTCGGAATAAAATAAGCTCGAAGGCCGATAGACAGAAAAAGACAGGGGCAACCTCTCCAAGATGGGTCTTGGTGTACTTGAGGATAAGCATCTCGATCATGTCCCTGGCACTGCCCTCCTCACGGACGTGATCGGCTCAGACAACTTCCGTTATGGCCGTTTTAACGCACCGGCTCTCCGCCACGCCAAGGGGAGGGATGCGGACATCGTCCTAGTACCTCAACCCAGCAAGAGCCCAAACGATCCGCTGAATTGGCCTCTGTGGAAAAAGGACCTGATGCTCTTCTTCATCTGCATCGATACCGCTGTCGTCGGAGCGTGGGTAAGTATTCTTTCATTCAAATATTGTCCAACTAACCGTCGTGGAGGATTATCTTGAACGAGATACTACAATCGTGTGTCCAATAATTCGCGTACACTGACGCTTCGTAGGGCCCGATGATCTCGCCCGGATTTGTCGAGATGGCTGTCCAATTTGACATGTCGTACAACTCGCTTAACGCCCAGCTTGGGTACGGTGTGTTGGTGATCGGGTTATCGTGTTTCGTTACCAATTCCATGGCAGTCGTCTGGGGAAGACGGCCGATCTTCCTGCTCGGGAATTTGTTGCTATTTATTAGTAGCATTGGAGGATACTATTCCCATACGTTTGCCAGCCTACTAGGCTTCCGACTTGTAGGCTGCATCGGGATGTCACCATTTGAAGTGTAAGTTACCCGCATCTCTATGTACCTAAAAGAGAAATGGAAATACTGACACCTCAGCCGCCTCTCCCTCTATTTAGTTTGGTCACGGCGACGATAGCCGACATCTACTTCGTCCACGAACGCGGCGTCCGACTTGCAGCCTGGGGGCTTTGCCTTTCAGTCGGGGTCGGTGGCGGTACGATCATCTCTGGCTACATCATCGAAGGCCTCGGCTGGAACTGGACATACGGAATCTGCGCGATCCTGTTCGGCGTCTGGACCATTGTCCTCTTCCTATTCTGCCCCGAGACGGCGTATAGACGAGACCCATCCCTCAATACCGACCTTGGGGTAGCGCCGACCAAAGCAGATGAGATAGAAAAGCCGACCGCGAGCGAGAGCCGGAAAGGTAAGCCCGGGAGCGAATCTCTAGAAACGGATAATAATATGGACGTTGAGGCTGTCGAAATTACCCCGGCAGATGATACATGGTCAGAGAAGAAGTACTCGTACTGGCACGAGCTCAAGATTTATCATGGAAGAGTCTCTGACGAGCCGTTTTGGAAGGTCCTGACTCGACCTTTCTTGATGCTTCTCTTCCCACAAGTCCTGTTCTCATTCTTCGCGTACGGACTCACCACCTCTTGGCTGGTCGTGGTCGGCAGCGTACTAGCTCAACTTTTCACCGCCCCTCCCTACAACTTCACCGTGTCTGGTGTCGGGCTTGTCTCCATAGCCTCTCTCATTGGCGCTATCATAGGAGCTTTTGTCTCCGGTCCCGTCGCGGACTGGGTCATCAAGGCTATGTCCAGGAGAAACGGTGGTATCTACGAGCCGGAATTCCGGCTGGTTCTCATTATCATCACCTTCATCCTGGGAGGCATGTCATTCTTCGGATTCGGGTGGTCGCTGGAGGAGAAGGACCCATGGATCGGGCCGGTGATCTTCTACGGTCTGCAGTACTTCAGCGTCGGGTTCATGACCATCGCTGTCTATGGTTATCTGACCGACTGCCACCGCGAGAAGGCTCCCGAGGCATTCGCATCGATCAACCTCAGGAATATCTACTCTTTCGGGATGAACTACTTCATCTCGGATTGGATCACTCGCCAGGGTCCGAAGCAAGTGTTCTGCATCATTGGTGGCGTGCACGTATTCATCTGCCTATGCGCGATCCCGATGTACATTTACGGAAAGAGGTGCAGGAGTTGGACGAGCCGAGTAAAGCTATTCGACAAGATCATGAATGCGTAAAGTCGCTTTTCCCATTGCCCTACATTTACAGCAGGACTCGAGCAGAGGCGAGCGAGGGCACCCGGTATTGCTATACCTATCAAGATGGGACGCGAGAAGTCGAATTCTAGCGACGAGAAACCATCATTGCCCTATGCGCCGACAGATCGCTATACATGCGGCCAGATTGTCTAGTGCTTGGGCTCGGCGTCAATAGCGTCCGCCATGTCTCCTAGAGTGTCGAATTTCCAATCGTATATCTCCTTCTCCTTGTTTCCCATAACTGCCCCCGGCCTCGCGATCCAGACCGACTTTATACCCATAGCACGCGCCGGATGATGGTCATGGGACTGGCTCTGTGCGGTCTGCAAGACCTGCTCCTTCTCAATGCCGAATTTGTCCTTCACCGCCGTAAGCATGTACTCAAAATTTCGTGGGCTGGGCTTATAAGAGCCGATATCCTGTGCTGTGATGATCAGATCAAAGGGCACTCCTTCTAGCGGGCCCGAGTTGGTTCGGGAAAACGAGGCACGGTCAACATTAGATAGTACGACCAGCTTGTAGTGCTTGGCCAGTCGACGTAGTGCATCAACCGTGTCGGGAAAAGCAGGCCAACTCCCCACCGAATTGCCGAAAGCTTGAGATTCCTCTTCCGTGGGTGGAGGAAGATCTAGTTTTGCGGCTAATAGTGGAAAGATGGTAGCTAGAAGCTGGGAATATGGCATGCTGGGGGTCGCCTCCTCCTGCCGAACCTCGAGCTCGCTGTAGGCCTCTAACACTTGCAGCCGAGGGACATCAGCGCGACCACGGGTATTGAGAAGAGGCTGTAGCGCCGATAGAATACCGGTCTCGTAGTCTATCAAAGTGCCGTACACGTCAAAAGAAAGGAGGCCGAAGTTCTTTAGGCCGGCCATGACGATCGCCGTGGATAAGGAGAACGGACAGCGAAGGAACTAATTCTACCGGACTGCGTCGGTGCCGTAACTTAATCGGGTGGGTTGTCTTCACAAACACAATGCCCGCTTTACCTACTACGCTTACAATGCAAAGAAATATATAGGTACTGAAGAAGCTACCAGCCGCGGAACGGCATTGAGGGCAAAACACCTATATCGGGGACTGGTTAGGACGACAATGTAAGTAGCTGACCGGAAGGGCGCGCCCTACCATAGACGTCCCGAGTTTCGTGTATGTGAGCAGGTGCCGAGACGTCACAATTAGGTAGGTGTCAACAGCGATGGACCAGTGCGCGGGGTAGATAGGTACCTAAGATATTGTGGATTGCGCAGGAGACGGCGCGTGACATTTGCAGTACCTACCTCTAGGTAGGTGGTCTACCGATAGGTAACTGATACCGCGTCACATTACCCCCCTCCTCCCCCACCAGTCGCCAAGCCGAAAAACGGCAATCTTGGATACTACGTTCGGCCGGCGCATCGCCGGTCTGGGGAACAATCCATATTAGGCCATCGCCGTACAGGTGCTACCTACCTAAGGTGGGCCGGGCGAAGGTCGGAGTCGTCGATCCGTCAACATGAGACGAAAGATTCTCCATCAGCTAAGAAACACATCTTATCGAACCTAGGTAGGTATAATTCATAGCCGACGGTAGGGTTAGCTGATTGTGTAAACCGAGGCGCGCGAGGCCGACTTCCTAACTCCTATTCCTCCTCTCCGTTCTAGTATATCCTCCCTCCTTGCTGCCTCTCTAGTGTTCCAGCGCTCCAGCCAGAAGTTCACGCCCACGAGCGCCCTGCGCGCGTCCACCCAGTGCCTCCAACGACAGAACCCACAGGACTCGGACGCCACACACACGCGCTGCACCTCGTGCCCCGCTCCCGTGCCCGCCCGGCACTGGCACCCGTACTCCCTGCCGCCCGCCGCCACCGCAAGGATGCACGGGCACTGGTAGATGACCCGCTTGCTCGTGACCTTGTCGCACGTAGGGCAGAGCGCGTAGATGGCGAAGTCTGTACATATGTCCTGTCGCTGTTGCTGTTGCGGGTGGCTGTGATGCACTGGCGCCACTGGTGTCATTGGGGACGGGGTGGTGCTTGGGTTGAGTGATGTCGACGTTGGTGATGGCGGCCAAATCGATGATAGCGCAGTGGGACTTATGGGGTACGACGATGAGGACGAGGAGGGAGGGAGAGGCGTGCGTGCCGCGGTGCGGATCCCTCGGTAGGTGAACGAGTGTTGTCTCTATGTCAGGTTAACACGTAGAGCTGCCAAAATAGTCTGGTAAGAGCTGAGGAGGCCTACCGACATGGCAAGTTCGTTCGGCTCCGTCATCGCGAGACTGAAGCTCCTAGAAGCTCGATCGTAGGCGACCATGAAGAGCAGAAGTGGGTGGCAAGAATATGAGGACGGGAGTACCAGCATTGATCTCACTTGGGGACGTCAAAATCTGCGGATAAGCAAACGAATCGGCGTCTCTAAGGTTCGGAAGTAGACAAAGGTATGCAGAGGTACCTAGGCGCGCCGCGTTCGTCGGTTTCGTTTTAATTTATTCCTCAGGCTCAACCGTGCCGAACTGTTGCTGTGTCGACAGAACACACGATTGGTCAGGAGGTCACAATAAAGAAAGACAACAAATACAAGCCACCTGACGGTGTATAGTAGCCACCTGAGTGTATGAATCGAATAGGTGTGCTACGGTATTCCATATTCATGCCAACTTACAACATTGAGTCAAAGACACGGCACAGTTGCCGAGCCCTATCTCTAGATAACCTCACATTGTGACAGGACTGGGCCCCAAATTATCTTTACGAGATGATATTCGAGACAACTCCGAGGTATGACGGCCGCTTTATGCTAGTGCGCCAACGATGCTGACACTGTGCTATGTACGGGGACATATAAAAGATGTACTACATATAGATTTTCATATCCAAGGAAACGTTTTCTCAATGCCCTACGGCGTTATATATATTATCGTATACCGTGGCAAGCCAGCCTTCCGCAGGACCCGCTCTCGCAACAACTCCTAGGCTTCCCGAGGCCCATAAGCAGACGATCGCGACGGTAACTCCTTGGACCCCCCACCAGGCACGTCTTCTACGTTTCCGCTGCTTCTTCTCGACAGTTATCTTCTTCCAATTCGCCGGTGGCGCGACGTTGAGCCATTTCGCACATCCCCACACCATGTGTCCCACTCCTACAGAAAGGAGCAAGGAGAACCCAATCCAGGAGGGTACCGGATTCCGCGCGAATCCGTGGGATACATACTGTAGGCCAACGTTAGAGCTGTCGCCATCCACAACGAGCGGAAGAATGCGGTTCAGGCCGACATGCGAAGCTAGCAGGCCAGCGAAGACGTATCCGGAGATGGAGATGTAATTCAACGGCGGCCATATCCTTAGGTTACTTGAATTTCTTGATGGAGGTGGAAAAGCCGAGGCGAGGCTTGCACGGTGTAGAGCCCACATACTTGGTGTCTCGCTGCCGTACCGCTTCAAGTTCTGTCGTCGGCGGAGGAGGCGTACGGCGACTCCGGAGGTGACGTGGGCAACAACAGGCAGAGCGACAAGCAAAGGTTCGGCCAGGCGCGTCTGGTAGAGCTCACGGGCCATAAGGAGGAACTGCTCGGACTCGGGAACGGACTGGCAGATGAGGGGAAATATGGATGTGTTGGCGAGGTGCAGGCCTGCGAACAAGCAGAAAGAGTAGGACGAGTAGCGTTGGATTCGTGATACTAAGGAGAGTTGTTAGTACGGATTGCGACAAGACGGCAGGCTCACGGGAGATAACGCGGCACACAGTAGTATATCGGGCCCCGGCCGCTCCCACTAAGACCTAAGGCGGAGGTTGGAGGAAGCGTTCCATCGTGTGGGAGAGGCGGAAGCTCCTTATCATAGGTAGAGCTGTTCTCTATGGGAGAAGGGTCAAGGTGAAGCAGTGATATTAGTGTCTCCTGCGAGGCTCTCGCGTGCAATGAACGAGAATCGTACGCCATCGCGGTGGCTCCGTGCAGCCGGATGGACGTTCTCTCGGCCGGAACGTTGGAACGAGGGTAAAGTGGACGACGTTGGGCGCCGATGGACAAGCTTCGGGAGCTCTCACAACTGCAAAAAAGAGAAGCGCGCCAAAGTACGTAGGTACCTCGAATGGAGATTATTTATAGGACCCCTGATTGGCCTAGTCCGGCGTGGGGCACGAATTGACGTCAAACAGGTAGGTATAAGAGCCCCGCGGATTCGGGTACCTTAGGTATACGACCTGCAGGTACGTAGGGAAATACATAAGATGCTTCATACAACATATAGTGATTGGTGTATGTGGTTACATGCTTACCAAACATACCCCCTACCGCTCAAAATACAGTGAAATTAGGGACCTATGAAGTAACACTCCCTAGTTTGTGCCCGCCCAAAAACGTCCCTAACGTTCTCTCAAGTGGTTACCTCTCCTTAGGCTTACACCGTACCATTACCCCTCCGTTCCATCTTGAGCCTTCGGTACCTCGTCAGGGAGTTAGAATGGACGATATCGCCGGGGACTAATACCCAGTACTGGTGCCGGCGAAGAGTTAGGTTCCGAAACCCTTCTAAGCTGATAGAAGGTCAGGCAATATTTGAGTTTCGTATACCCATGTAGGTTCGAAAATAAAGTGAAATAATATAGATACTTTCACATCAATCGCATTGAGGCATGCTTGCTATTAGCTCTATGGCAGATGTCTTCAGTCGTTGGGTTCAATGAGATCGGGTCACATTTGTAGTGGTGTCAAGGATGCAGTACTAATGAGTTCCTAATACATGTATCTTATCTCCCACCAGTTGCTACCAGCCGAATACCCCGCGCCCCTTGTTACCTGACAGGTGGTGCCCAGTACCTACCTGCCTGCACCTAACCTTATCATGTGCCTTAGGTACATCGGTACACACTGGTCCTTCTTCCCTAACTGATCCAACACTGTCTTCACAACACTTTGTCCGAAGCCCATCTTTTGATTTTCATCCTAAACCTTTCGCCTAGGACAGACGCATCTCTTATCCGTTTCCTCAATATGCCCCCCGTAAGTGTCAATCTGCTTCCCCAATCCTATTCGCGCATTTATTACCATCTCGCAGCATCAGTCTCGTCAGTGACTCAGCTTGACAGCTAATATGATCTCGTACAGAGACACCAGACTTTGCCCCCAGCGCAGACCTCGTCCGCCCGCGCCGCCCTCCAATCCTTCTATTGCGAATTATGTTCCAAAGGCTACTCGCGCATGAATGATTACGAGGCCCACCTAGGCAGCTATGACCACAGCCATCGCCAACGTATGAAGGATATGAAGCAGATGGTGAAGGATCCTACAGCCGGTGCCCGCGCGAGGAAGGCTGAAGCTAAAGCCGATGGCCTCATCAGCATCAAATTAGGCGGGGATCCGACTCTGGGTGGTGGTGGTGGTGGCGGCGGCGGCGGCGGCAACAGCGGTGGAGGGTTCAAGAAAGGCGGATTCAAGAAGTCGGGTTTCAAGATCGCATTCACACCTGTAGGTGGGTTGGAGGGCGGCGGGGGCGGCGACGAGAAAGGCGGTAAAGCAGCAGACGCCAATGACAATAGCAACAGTGACGACAAGATAGAGAAACCCATACCTAGAGACCTGAATGCCGAGAGCGATACGGACGACGAGGGATACGAGGTCTACAACCCACGGTTCCCAACCGACTGAGGCCGAGTCCGAGCCGGAGGCAGTCCCAATGACAATGGCAATAACGACAGAGTAACCGCAGCTACGCCTACAACACGGAAGGTCGGGTCCGTAAGCCTAAAAACGCACCGAGGAGTTGAGGTCTGGGCCTCGTCCCTACATGTCGTACTGGCGAGAACGCATAAGAGGGTCCTACTTGCTGGTTTAGGTGCCTCTGTAGCCAACTCTTGTAGATGTTGTAAGAACTACACCCCTATACGTGATAATGGACGGCCTTACCGTCAGGGTGTGCTACAATATGCCGCAGGTCAAGAACGTGAGGCACACAAATCCCATATACAATTATCCTTCATTCGTCCATTCTATACCAGACAATTGCTAGATTGTGGAAAACGCCATTAGATACGAACTGTTCTGAACGGCATACCCCCGCCATTCCAGAGCACAGCGTTACAGCGGGAAACTGCATCCAATGACACATGCCACTTCTTCTTCGCCTCGCTCCTCCAGGGACCGATGGGGATGAAAAAACACGCATGATCTCGACATATCGGTGAGATGGGGTTCCAAAAATTCCCAACCCGGCCGAAGCCAAGCTGGAGCGGTCAGTAAATAGTTTTCAACTAGCAAAAACACGCACTCGGATTGCTCCTCACTGTGACGCGTAAAGCCCGTGCACCAAGATGAGGAATCAAAGGAAGAAAATTTTCAAAAACGTTTGGGGGAGGGAGAGGTGTTTAAGTAGACGTAAAGGCGGTGTACACAATCAGCCTGGGATTCTGCCGCATGGAGCCTCCTTTTACAGGTCCTAATGTCGGATATGTGGAGGTACCTAAACAGGTACTTACCTACCTAGGTAGGTAGGTGGACACGGCGCAGGTACTTGGGTCGTGACAGTCTCAACCCACCTACAATACCATCGCAGGTAGGTTACCTAGGTACGTAGGAACGTGCCTAACATACGGATGTAGGTACCTGCTATCCTAGGCACGTTAGGTGGGTTACTAGGTAGGTAGGTACCATGTCCGTACCTACCTAGGTATAGCTACCTCTAAGTATAGTAGGGCTGGCGGGTAAGCACAGATCTCGCGACAAGAGGGCTGCTTACCGGAAGCAGTATCAGTAATGCCTTCTTCTATTTTGTAGTAGGTAAGCAAAGAAAATCTAGCAATCTAATATACTAAGATCAAACCTGCGCCACAGTCCGAAATAGGCTAGAGTCTTACGAAGGTGATTGGTTCATGAAAATAGCGAAACGGTTATAATTACGTAAGCCGCTCTATAAAGCCATACGAAGCCATATGCCTACGTCTGGAACGTTCGTACCTACGTACCTAAGCTATACGCTTACGTCTGGAACGTTCGTACCTACGTACCCGGCTTACGTTTAGAACGTTCGTACCTACGTACCCGTACGCTTACGTTTGGAACGTTCGTACTTACGTACCTATACGCCGTAAGCTTATACTTTACGTTACGTAATATAAGGTATAAATTAATAATATACGTAAATAATTAATATTATATATCATACTTTCTTATAAATTATATATTAATTAAATAATTTATCTTTTTAAAGTAAATATACATTTTAATATAATTACTTTAAACTTATAAAGTATAGCCTTAAAGTTAAATAGAACCTACTAATAAAAGAAACTATATAATATATAATAATCTTTTTAAACGTTTACGTTTATATATATTAACGTTTTATATTATATAATTAATATAATAAATATAATAAATATAATAAATATAATAAATATAATAAATATAATAAATATAATAAATATAATAAATATAATAAATATAATAAATATAATAAATATAATAAATATAATAAATATAATAAATATAATAAATATAATAAATATAATAAATATAATAAATATTATTACGTAAATTAGGAAAGCTATATAAGTATTTAGGTTATTTTATATGTAATGAAATATAGGAAGAAGAAAGTAAATTAATTATTAAGGAGGAGTAGAGCGTACGCGATACTAGAGACCCGGATATGTTTACTCGAAAGTATATTCTATCGAAGACTATAGTACGTACGATGGTCTAAGATAAATGAAACTAGTGCCGTTATATTAATCGAGAGGTAAGGAATCTAATGTAGTTATCGTATCTTAACTATGTCCCTTAGTCGTAGAGATATAGTAGTCGCTAGCCCGAAGGTATAAGAGGTAAAGGGAGAAAAGGGGTAAAACGTAAAAGTTACTTATTCGGCTATAACGGTACGACGAAGTAATTTAAGCGCTTATAATTAAGATAGATATATTAATCGGAAAACGACGAATCTAATAATAAAAACGAATCTTTAATTAAGGTAAAAATAATAAAGATAGTAATCTAGTTAGGTAATAAATTAAATAATAAGCATGGTATATTCCGTACTTACGGGAGCTATAGTTATTTTATATAGGTATAAGGCTTATCGTAACGTACTATATAATATATTAAGAGGGTATGTTTTACCGTATTATTATAGCTTCTTTAGTTTAATTATACCGTAAGGAATAATTAAATTAAAAAGGGTAGTACGGTATATTCCGATTAATATCTTTCCTTAAAAACTACCGCGAAACTCCATTCCTTTAGTTATTATTTAACTATTACGGCCGCGTTTTTAACTTCTCGTTTAATATTATAAGGAGGCTTCTTTATTACTTTATAACTAACTTAGCCCGGTTTATCCTTACCGATTTAACCCGATCGGCGTTCTTTTTCTTTATTTCGGCTACCTTTTTCTTAGTTTCGTCTTAGCTCTCTTAATTAGGGGGATAATAAGGGAGCGGGCGCGTCCTAAGGGTTAATTATGTATCTTTTCTTTACTTATACGGTATAAAGGTTTTCCCCGACTAAAAAGCCTTAATCCTTTTTAGTCCGGGGGAAGGAAGGAGACGCGTTATAACCTTAACGAGGTTATTATAACGGAGGTTTACGTCCGTTAATACGAGAAAGTAAAAGGGGTTAGGTATTAAGGCTATAAAGGAACGGCGGATTTCGGCTTACGCGATAAACCGAACGAAGGATTTACGGCTAAAGAGCTCGCCGATCGGCGTATTTTACGCCGAGGCTATAGCGTTAATAAGGTCGATTCGCTTTTAATAGTTTACGGTTTACCGGAGACGTTTAACGATACTAACTTTTCCTTTTAAAACCCGAACGCTATAAAATTACTTTACTATTTCGGCGTATTTTCTTATAGTATTAAGGGGATTAAGGTCCTTATTTTCTTAGGCCTAGCGCGCGATTTCGATCGGTCGTTTAAAGATAAGATACGGTAAAATACCGCTTTAAAAACCGTAACTAAAGCTATTTTATTAGTTTATTAGCGCGACGTAGTAAGTAGATTAGGAGGTTATATTAAGCTCGAGATTACCGTCTTTTTATACTTGCCGTAGTTAACCGAACGCGTACGCCGCCCGATCGAGGGCGTCGTCTTTAATTATATTAAAGCTAAATAGTTTTCGGGGCTTAGGGAGGTATAGTATTACGGCGAAGTAGGCTTAGGAGAACTTTAAAGGGTCGGTAATAATTCGTTCGGGGTTTATTAGATCCGTATAAATCGTAAAAATTAAAATAAAGATAAGGTTATCGAGGAGGTACTAACGGGTTAGGAAGTTAAACGATTCTATCGATCGGTAGCCTATCGTTTAATACGGGTCTACTTTAAAGGCCGCCTTTCGGCCTTTAAGGTCGTAGTTAGTTATAGTATGGAAGGCGCGGATATCTTCGTTAGTAAAGTAGTCGTAGCGGGCGAGGTATACGAAAGAATTAACTAGGGTTACCTTCGTTTATTCTTATAGCTATTAGTTTATAGTTCGGGATCGATTAACGGATAGCCGGAGGGCCTAGGTTATATCGGATCCTAATTCGATCGGACCCTTTCCCGAATCGTAATTATTTAAAGTATTAAACTAGTATTTCTTTATATTACTTTAGTTATTTTTATTACTATAAATCTTCCGTAAGAGTTTTATTAAGTCGGTTAAATCGGTACGACGTACGTTTCTATAAACGGAAGGAAGGAAAAAGAAAGGGGGAATTCCGGCGGAGCGGGAAGAAGATATAATAAAAATAAATAAAAAGAATTAAGGAAAGGAGGAGAAAAGATAATAAGTTAAAGGTAAAAATAAGAATTTAAATTAATAATAAGAAAGGTAGGCTAGAGATTAATAAGAATATAATAATTATAGGGAAGGGGTTTTCGAAATAAGATACCTAAAGAGGAAAAAGAAAGGAAGGAAGGGAGACGTATTAACGATATGGTTAGATATATCTTTACGGCTAACGCTTTAGGAAAGCGCGTTCCCCCGTATACGTATAAAGCTATAATAAGAAACGCGTTAGCTTATAGCTTCTTATTATATGCTTTTAATAAAGTAATAAATACGTACGTTCGTAGATTCGTAATTAAACGTAGGCTAGGGTAGGTATTATCGAGACTTTCCTAAGTACGGTACTTACGACCTAGGTAACGTATTCGATTCTTTTATTTTCGTCCGACCTTTCCTCTTATTTCTCGCTATTCTACGGTTCCGATTTACTTCCTTTCTTTTATTCCTTAGGTCCTTTATTTTCGTTTTAATTCGTTTTTCGATTTTTTTTAATTCTAGATTTATAATTTCGTCGTTCCTATCTCTTTTTTTTTAATATATATATATATATAATGGACCTTACTATCCAGAAGTAACTCCTTAAATTAAACCGGGTAACCGTTCTTAAGCTATTCGAGTAGCTAAAGGCTACGGGGATTACCGACGAAGAAATTACCGGGGCGTTTAAAAAGGCTAAGGAGGATAAGAAAAAGGCCGTAACGTATTAGCGGGCTAAGTCGATACCGCCGCTGGTAAATCTAATGAATAAGTAACCCGACGAATCCTTCCGTCGCTTATCTTCTACCGAGGAGTTCTGGGACGTTAATCGGTTAATCCTTAAGTCCTAGTAGGTACCGTACGCTTCGTATTTCCGTTCCTTAGATTAAAGCCCGAAAGTAATTATCGGCCGATAGCTCCGAAGTATCGAGGAAATTCGGGTAATAGATTAATAGCGCTAAGTATATAGCTTTTAATATTAATAAGATCTATTAATCGAAGGCTATATTAATTAATGGTAAGATAATTCGTAACGTTCGGTTTTATTTTCTAGGTAGGCCGGCGGCCGGCCGGTATATCGCATAGGAAATTATAAGTAAGGATTTTTAAGAGGTTACCTATCTTTAGAGCTATATTATATCCTTTATTCGTTATGTTTAATCCTTTCGCTACCGGACGTTATTTATAGAAATTAATAATAAGGGATTAGTTAACGAATACT